CCCCCACTATTGTACTATTGTGCTCACTGCTTGCTGGAGCCAGGGGGCACCAAACTGTTTACAGCCACCAGTCTGCCGCCACCGTATCTGTCCTCCCCCCATCACACCTCCCCTATTCATTCCAACATGCCCACCTTCAGATGTCCTGATGTAAGGATCTTTCAGGAGTGTTTGTGTGTTGAGCAGGGGATCCTTTGTTGAACTATAATTGTCTGACTTATAAATTTAAGAGGAGGAACAATGGAGTCTTCTCACTCTGCCATGATGCTGATGTCACCTCTCTCCATTTACTTTTAGAAACCTATTGATGTCTATTAGGTAACATTTTTTGAAGCCTAATATTTAGTTGCTATATATACTTGAAACATACTCTATAAACTTTTTCCATGTTAGTCTGGTTTTATGAAGTATTTTTATAGGCACTTATTATTAGACTTCAAATTATAAGTTATGTCCTAATAAAGAGGAAATGAGCAAAATACTTTTTAACTAAAAACTGTGTATGTCCTTCTATGTTTCGTTTTCCTGAAGTAGTTGATTCTGTGTGATGAGCTGTGGCCTCTGCATTTCAGATACTATGCCGTCATGGTGACCATGTTCTTCACTGTCAGCGTGATCAACAACTATGCCCTGAACCTCAGCATCGCCATGCCCCTGCACATGATCTTCAGATCTGTGAGTCCGCTGGCCACGCGAGGCTGTTCCTCTGAAAGATACTAAGTGGGCAGATTAAACACAGAGCCTCAGTAGAAAGGGCTTGTAATAAGTTGTATGTCATTTGAGAAGGCTGCAAAGAGAGAGTAATGTGAAAGTGGTGTTTACTTTTATTTATCTGAGGTCTTATGGGTGATTCATAAAAGGAAAGTTAAAAATTTCTTGAGAAATAGATTTTACCTTTTAATTTCCTTCATCTGGTTGATGTTATATTTACACTTGTTATGCTCTGTCATTTTAACTTATTTCTCATGCCTTTTTGTTTGTTTCTTCCATAAAAGTACATTTACTTCTAGTAAATGAGACCCTTCTCCTTTCTGATTTTTTTTTTTTAAAGCAGAGACTTGAGATAAATAAAGGGAAATTCTTGATGGAGGTATGTTTCTCCCAAAGCAGTAGAGGTTTTTTTCTTTGCCTCAAGTATGGTGAGAGATCTGTGTTTAGTTTCTGTGTAAATACGAACAGTTTTCCCTAAAGGGCAGGAAAGACCTCAAGGGAAATGTAGTTAGGATTGCAGAAGATTACACAAAGTGGCTGAGGATTGGAATGGTAACATTTTGGTGTGGTCTGAGATTTTTGTGAGATCCAGTGTGCTATTTCTAAAACGACTTTCCAGAGCTGATTGTAATAACTAAGACGACCTTCCAAGCACTGAGCACATGGTAGACCCTCAGTAAGCCCTTGATGATGGACAGACACCCTTCCAGAGAGGAGATCTCTGCACAACTTCTTTCATTAGAACTAGGGGCGAGGAGAAGCTTAGTAAAAGCTCTTATACATTAGATTGAAAGTTTGACAAAAATCAGTCCATAATATAATTTATTCTTGCTTAGCCCTAACTAGTTACTGAGAATTGATCATTTTTATTTTCATTGTCATGCAAGATAGATTTTTATGGTTTATGTTCGCTATCATAAGAACACCTGGACCTTACTAATTTATTCCTCTTAACCGCCGCCTTCCCAGCTGTTTTTCCCTCTTGTCCATGTTCATATTTACCTTGAATTATGTTGTCTTTCCTGAGTGCACTAAAACTTTCTCTCGTCTCCTTCTGCAGGGTTCTCTAATTGCCAACATGATTCTAGGAATTATCATTTTGAAGAAAAGGTAAACAGTGACTTTATATAATTTCTGTACAGGAAGCACATCCTGGGCCCCTGCATCAGCCAGTCCTGTGATTCCTTTTCTCCTAGTGAGGGCCTGCTCTTGGCCTCCTGTTAGTTCTCTGTGACAGTGACGCACACTCCTGATGCGGTTGGCCAGGTCAGAGATCCCACCTGTGGCTTCTCAACGTCTCTGTGTAGAAGTAGCTCTTGTCACCACTGAATCCTTAGATCCGTACTAACCTATGAAGTCAATTGGTCTAGAACTTCACTGGCCCCATGTGGTCACCACTAGTCACATGTGACTATTTACATTTAACATTTAAATGACTTAAAATTCAATAATTAGTTCTTTAGTCTCACTGGTCACATTTGATGTGCTCAAGTAGCCACATGTGGCTAGTGGTGACCATATCGGAGAGCCCAGCATGGAACATTTCCAGCCTCATAGTTGTGTGGGACAGTGCTGTCATAGGTGTTCATAGGTGTCACAGTGCTGTAATGGACTAAGGAATATCGTACTTAGTAAAAAGAAAATTCCTAATGGCCAAGAAGATGGAATCAAAAGTATCAGGACTATTCTACATGACTGTCACCAATGGAATGTCATGTCTGCTCTTTTTTTTTTAATATTTCTTTATTGATTTCAGAGAGAGGAAAGGAGAGGGGGAGAGAGAGAAACATCAATGAAGAGAGAGTCATTAATCGAGCCCGCAACCTGGGCATGTGCCCTGACCAGGAATCGAACCCCGATCACCTGGATCCTAGGTTGACGCTCAACCGCTGAGCCATGCCTGGCCAGGCTGCTCTTTTTTTTTTTTAGATGAAACAATTTGTTGGTCCACAGACTCTTAGAAACTAATTTAAGCAACACCACGAAAGGGTGTTTGTGGCGACCAGTCGGCACCTTGACTCTTCCACACACAGACTTACATGGACTCAGCTGGGAATCTGCATGGACTCATGGGGAAATTGGTCTCTGTGCTTTCTTAACGTGTTCTTCCCATTTCTGCAGATACAGTGTATTCANCTAATTTAAGCAACACCATGAAAGGGTGTTTGTGGCGACCAGTCGGCACCTTGACTCTTCCACACACAGACTTACATGGACTCAGCTGGGAATCTGCATGGACTCATGGGGAAATTGGTCTCTGTGCTTTCTTAACGTGTTCTTCCCATTTCTGCAGATACAGTGTATTCAAATACGCTTCCATCGCCCTGGTGTCTGTGGGGATATTTATTTGCACTTCCATGTCAGCAAAGCAGGTGGTAAGAATCGGCTCACAAATCATTTACATTCACTGCTTGCATGGGGGCTCAGGTACCAGATACTTATTCATGATGCAAAGAAGAGGGGAGGGAAAAGGGTGACAAATATTTCCCTGTGTCCAGGCCCATTGCATACAGTTCTGGTCTCTGTACTTAGTATTTTTTTCTTATTTCCTAGACTTCCCAGTCCAGCTTGAGTGAGGATGATGGATTCCAGGCATTTACGAGGTGGTTACTAGGCAAGTATGCTAATTACAATAAAGATAATTGCCTCTGCAGTTCTGTTTGCTGAGTTTTCTCCTAAGGGACATGTTTCTTGGCAAGAAGCTTCAGCTAAACAAATTATGCCACAGAAGAGAGGCACCTGGGATCATAAATCTCTGGCCTGCGGTGTTCAAAAAATGACAAAAAGAAAACTTCCAGGTCCATGGTGGTGTGTTCTGGGACCTGGATCAGTGCTTCTCTTGGTTGCCGCTGGTCTAGGAAGAAAAGTAACTGCTGCTTGCCCAGCACACTCTGTGGGAGTAGTGGTTAGGGTGTCACCCAATTCTTCATGGTCTGTCTGCTGAGTACAGGCTTCCTCAGAAGGGCACGTTACAGTAGTTGACTCTGAATCTCCAAGGGAACCATTTCTAAATCTGAGATTTATTTTCTTGAGGAGTTAGCTATTCCATACGGCAGTGTTCCCAAACCTGACTGATTTAGCAGAATCTCCTGGGGAATGTATCTCTCTGCGGAAGTAATGAGACAGTCCTGTAGAGCGTTGCCCTCACATTGTGAGATACAGAAGTGAAACTTTCCAAGTACATTCAGTGGTAACAGTAGCAGTAGCAGATTGAGACTGACCAAGTGACAGAGAAATAGCAGGGAAAGAATTATATTCTCCTTGCTGCTTGGCTTTGAAACTCTGCTCCCCTCTAGATTGCTATTCTTTTTTTAAAAATATATCTTTATTGATTTCAGAGAGGAAAGAGGAGGGAGAGAGACAGAAACATCAATGATGAGAGAGTCATTGATCGGCTGCCTCCTGCACGCCCCTAACAGGGGATCGAGCCCGCAACCCAGGCATGTGCCCTGACCTGGAATCGAACCCCAATCCCCTGGATCCCAGGTCGACACTCAACTGTTGAGCCACGCCCGGCCGGGCTAGATTGCTATTCCTAACATAGAAAGATCTTTATGAGCTATTAGAAGAATACTTTATCCAATAAGAAAAATTTGCAGAGGATTTGAACATACCATTCATGGGTGGGAAAATTAATAATTTTATGTTTAGCCTTACTGATCTAATAATTAAAGAAATGCAGATTGAAACCAAAATGCAGTGGCTTTTAATTTTTGATCTATTATATTGGCAAGATAATGATTATTCTCATTACTGCTGAGGGTGCAGCAGGATGGCCATTTTCACATGAACAGTTTACAGTATAAATTGACATGGCCTTTCTGGAAAAAACTATGTATTGAGTAATTCCACTTATGAGAGTTTATCCTAAGGAAATAATCAACATTTTAAAAAAGATTTATGTACAAGGATGTACATTGATTTTAATGGTGAAATATTGAAAGTAATCTAATCACTCTCACATTGTAAGACATTTAAGTATGGTACATCCACATGGTAGAGTAATATGGAGCCATTAAATCATGCTTTTGAAAAAATGTTAATGAGTAACCTGAAGGAGAATCTAGGAGAAAAATCATGAAAAAAAGCAAGATATAAAATTGTGTACTCATTATGATGCTGGCTTAGCATAAAATATACATAAATGTAGAGAGATGTAGAAAACTATAAAGGACTGGATAGTAATATGGTTGATTTTTATTTCTTTTTAAAATTTTGTATACATTCTACAGTTAGTTTGTAATATTTGTAATACATTTAAATAATAAATGTTCTTTAAGAAAATATCTGGAAGTTAGTGAATGCAGGTGCCTGGTAACCGGATCTTTGTTTTGCAGGTATTGGAGCACTGACATTCGCCCTTCTGATGTCAGCGAGGATGGGCATTTTCCAAGAGACTCTATACAAACAGTTTGGAAAACACTCTAAGGAGGCTTTGTTTTATAATGTAAGCAATTTCTTGAACCTGGGGAGGGTCAAAATGACTGAGTTTTTAGTATTAATGTAACGTGTTTTCGATTGTAAGATGCCATCCTTTCCGTGTAGTTGAAGGATGGGTTCACCATCCAGTCAAGGGCTTTGGGCCCCCAGACCGGAGTGAGCACCTTTCACAGGCCGCTGGTGCGCACGGGAGCCACGTTCTCTGCTCAGGTCGGGGGTCTGGGTCGGGCATGAGAGCGGCTGCCCACCGGGAACCTGCCCCTGTGTTCCTGCAGGTGAAGGGCGCAGAGCACTGGGGAAGCTGGGAAAGGAAACTCAGCTGCAGAAGCAGCATGCGAAGGGGATGTGTGCGAGGAGTGAGTCCCTCGGGTGGGCCTTTTCATTTTATGGAGAGTTGAGCAATTATACAGCTCCAGCTCCTTTGTTTTAAAGGGCTGATCTGGGGCCGCCGCCTCTAACTTCTCCCTCTCCTGTTGTGACGATGCCCGAGCCGTGTAACTCCAGGTCCCCTGACCTCGGGGATTCCGTCACTGCCAGCTGTTTGTACTGAAGCGGTTTGACACTTTTAGTTGGAGCTGAGAGGACACGGCTGGGAATTTAAAAAATAAACACTCCATTCGTTCCACACCTTTCTTTTATAACAGGGGCACGTGTAGCTGTCAAGTAAATGTTCCTCGGAGCCTCGAGTCCTTATAAATTATTGTGGTTGTTGTCAAGCACATTAACCTCTGCTCGCTGGTCGTTCCCTCTGAAACCTTTTAATTCTTGTCATTTCCTTTCTCCCTGACACCGTAGTGTCCTCCAGTCTCTTTTCTCACTACTTTTCTAAACTCCCTGAAATCTGCCTCCACATTCTTTATAATTTTAAAATCCATTATGTTTGTTTAACTGTTCTCAAAATTAGTAAAACGTAATAAATCCTTTGGGCAGAATGACTGAGCATTCCCTTTCGTTGAAGAAAGGATGCTAGTCCATTTTAGTTTGTTTCGTGTGATGACCATCACACTCTATAAGGGTAAAAACCCTAATCTGGGGGTTATTGTGCCAGGTAGTGCCACGTAGTTAGAAGCCCTGGGTATATTTAACTTAGTCTCACTTGCTTGTCAAACCACTTGTGAAATGAATCACTGTAAAAGCACTCCCATTATTCTGTAGTGTTTTTTGCATTTCAGTTTCTGTGACCTGTTTCTTCCCTCAGCACGCCCTTCCACTGCCTGGATTCATCTTCTTGGCTTCTGACATTTATGACCACGCAGTTCTTTTCAACAAGTCTGGTGAGTCTGGGGTTACCCAGCAGAACAGCCTGACAGAGTTTCAGTTTTACTCTGGACTTGACCACTGCTTTTTTTATCCAAATCCCCTGGCCCACCTGAACCCATCCCCATGTCACTTTCCTGGAATATAGTGCCATTTATCTGTAGTTGCAGTAGCAAAAGCTTTTACTGGTGCTTCTCTTACTTCATTTGCAAATTGTTGAGAAGATCCTCAACTTTTCTGTTTTGCTTTGGAATTTGTGTGTTTGCATTTGAATGTGGAAGGTTTGGCATTTTGAGAATGCAGACAAATGGTACTAGCACTCCACAGAGATTGGAGCCCTGAGGGGGAGTGGGCGGCGGTCCAGCCCTCCCTGTGCTGCCCTGAGGGGTCCATCTAGTCCTTGCTACCTGGGGAAGGGGAAGCAGAAGCAGAAATGACAGGGCGTTTTTCCCAGGACACAAGTTAGATAGGCGGCAGGAATGAGCAAAATTAATTCAAAAATCTACAGCGTAAGTTAGTCATTTCTTTTTAAAGTAACCACTTAATAAATTGTCAGTTGCCAGTTAACTTGAAAGAAATTACGGATATGATCTGATTAGCTACTAAAAGACATAGTGTTATATAGAAAAATGAACACATAAGGAACAAATAAACATTTTTAAAATATAAGGCTTTATGTTGCTCATCCCTAAAAAGTATACTTTGTACAATGGCAGTAGGCGCTCAGTAAACATTTGTTTGCTTCCTGAGCATGAGTTGTGAAGTTGTACTGCTCTCTGAATTAGCAGCATGGCCTCTCCCATTCTGTCTTCCCAAAAATGTGTGATGAAGAAAGTTTTTAAGGCTCCAAATTACTCATTTCTGATTTTTTTACTGAGATAATTGACATATAGCTGATTTTTGACACATTGGTTTTTAAGGTTTCTGACAGTCCCCACATAGCAAAGAGCTATTTAAGTAAACACTAAACACACTTTCAAATTCCTGAGGATTGATTTCATGCACTCGAACCCGGGACCCTTCAGTCCGAGGGCCGACGCTCTAACCACTGAGCAACACTGGCTGGGGCTTAAATATACATTTTTTTCTCTTCTTGAGTTTTAGTGTCTCAGACCTATTATCCTTGATTTTTCTAAGAGAGCCGAATATCCATCTCAATATTTTACATCTTACTGATTGTCTCTGTCCTCAGCAAACTGATACAGTGGGTCTCTGAATTTATTAATAACAGTTGTTAACTTTCTGTTTCAGTGCTTGCTAAGTGTTTCAAAGACAATAGAATACCAGATTATTGGGATTTCCCACTGGTCCAGACATACACTTCTAACAAATTCTCTTTATTTTTTGCAAAAGAAAATTAATGATCTTTCCTAACCAGACGTCAGTATCACCTTGTTGGAATTTCCTAAGTTCTGCTGTATGTTTCAAGCAGTATGAAAGAAATGGCCGGAGAGGATTACTGTGTCATTCTTGTTAACCTTGGGTGTTTTGTTTCTTCCCAGATCTTCACTATGCAAACCTCATTATACAAAACTAACACAGGAATGTATTTAAAAGAAGAAAAGTTAGTTTCCTTCCAGATGCTATTTACATAAATTCTTACATCTTTATAATCCTTGTGTAGATATATCTTTATACTTCCTGCTTCACTTTCATTCTGAGTTTTTTGGTGACTATATCTAACCCTTATGGTTTTTTAAATAGGCTAAGTGCACAATGCCTCATCCAGTCAGAGCACCTCTGCTTACAGCCATTGCTCTGTCGTTGGACATTTAGATTGAGTCAGAGTTATACTGCAATGAATGAAGAACTTTTTCCTTCTTTTGAATTATCTAAGATTAATTCCTAAGAATGGGTATCAATACTTTTATGGCCCCTTAATAAGAATTGTGAAGTTGACTTAAAAAACACACACAATTTATACTACCACCAACTGAATGGCTGCCAATTCCCCTTTTATCTTGCCATAATACAATATTATTTGTTAGCAATTAAAATCTACAAATAATATTCTAACTTAATAGATATAAAATTCTACAGCCTAGTTTAATTTAGAATTCTTCAGTTACTAGTAGGATGGACAGTATTTCCAAATGGCATCTAGTTACTGGTTGTCTTTCCTCTTGTGTTGATTGTCAGTTAAGACCACATCATATTTGAACTTCTCTGTAAAGTGGGGTCCTATTCAGGTGAGTGGTAAAGAGTTTAAAATTAAAATAGTCATTTGTTTTAAGTGTGTGGTCCAAATCTGTTTGCAAGGAAAGTAACACTGCTGTCTCTATGACGTTCAGTCTGTATTACTTTTTCAAAAAGATGAAAACTTTAGCTGTCACAAGTGATAACAACTGTCTCCCCTTTTAATCTTTACAGAATTATATCAAGTTCCAGTCGTCAGTGTGACGGTGCCCATCATGTGGTTCTACCTCCTCATGAATGTCATCACTCAGTATCCTTCACCCTGCTCTGCCCATGGTCTTCTCTGCGTTATTTGGCACAGGAATGTTTATTCCTCTGACAGCAGTGACAAGAGTTTCACCCTTGCTTTGGTCTGTTCTGCAGTAAGCAGGAGAAAGGCCCATCCAGTGAGCTCCCTGTGGAGGGCCAAGGACATGATAGTGGTGCTATATAGGTCAGTAGGTCAGAGGGCACTGCAGGAAGTGCTCTGGGAGCAGGTGTAGAAGTCAGTGGATAATTAAGAATTAGTGTATGACATGCATGTTCTGTGATTTCTACCATCCTGGGATATTTCACAAGCCACCACAAAATTCTGAAAGAAATGTCAAATTAACTAAAATTTAACTTTAAAAAAAAAATGCTTCGTTTGAATGACCTTAAGTCCTTTATAAAAACTTACGTCTTTGAAACAGTGAAACAGATGGAGATTGACCGCACTCCTCTCACTTCACCTCGTAGATGTGCCCCACAGAGTTCTTTTTGGAAGGAGGTGGGAGGATTGGGGACCAGATCAGATGACCTTGACTGAGTGTACCGTCTGTCGTTCCTTGGGAGGAGACCTTCACTGTAAACTGTGGGAAGGATCCAGAATAAGAATAGTGAGAGGTTTTAGGCAGTTTGAGTTGGGATCCACAAATGGAATGGCAGGCCAGGAGTCCTGCAGAATGTTCTACCAAGGAGCCTCAGAGCAGCTGTAGCCAACCCCCAAGTTTTGTGGCTCTTGGAAAGGAACATTTAAGCCAAGACCCCTGCTAGCAGGTTCTCCCCAGCTGATCTCTCGGTCATCTCAGAAAACCACCTTAACCCTGCCCTCCAGGTACGTGTGCATTCGGGGAGTCTTCATCCTCACCACAGAATGCACCTCCCTCACCGTGACGCTCGTCGTGACTCTGCGCAAATTTGTGAGCCTCATCGTCTCCATCTTGTACTTCCAGAACCCCTTCACTCCGTGGCACTGGCTGGGCACCTTGTTTGTCTTCATTGGGACCCTAATGTATACAGAGGTTTGGAACAACCTACGGACCACAAGAAGCCAGCCTCGGGAGGACAAGAAGAACTGAGGCACGCCTGGGAGACCGGGGCGGTAATGAGCCAGGGCCTGGCAGAGGTCGGGCTGCTGTTTCACCTTCGTTAATGCTGAATTGCCCGCAGTACTGAACCACCACATACCAGACAATCCTCAGGAGGGGACTTCCCAGATTTCTCATGGGTTTACAGACCAGCGTTTGTGGACGCTGAACAGAAACCTCTCAACCCTGAATTAGAAAACAGAATAGTGATCTACTATTGAACAACTGTTTGCCATTTGTTTTGTTTACCAAAACATTCAGTACTGTACCTGATTGTTGAATTGAGCCCCAGAGCTGCTAGTTTTATATCCATGGTCTTGGACAGACTCCCCCGTTTGTTCTGGTAATCCTCTCAACAGTCCTCATCCTGTGTCCGCGTCCTTTTGTTCTGTCACCTTTCCACTCTGGCATCACCAGAAACAACTAAGTGACCAGGTGAGCTGAAGCACTGGTGACAGTGGAGGACGGGTGTTTTCTATGCAGAAGCTATATGTTTTCATATCTCTTGCTTCCTGTGCTTAGAACAAACCTGCAGCATATCTCTATGGCACAGTGTTAGTAGGAAATAAAGGTTGTATATGAATTGGGAAAGAGACATTTTTCCCCTCAGTCTAAGCCCATGAGCCTAGAACCGAGCTGGTGACACCAGGATGGCCCAGGAGAAGCTGGCCCTGGTCATCACCCAGAGAGCTACAGCTTTCCCACCCCAGATATTCACAGGGCTCCTTCCAAGTGGGTAGGTTAAGTCTTTGAAAGTGTTCTTAACCACGAAGGTTTAACTCTGCCTGGCAGTTCTAATAGTCACAGGCTAATGAGTAGACCAAAATATGGTGGTGGTGTGGCGTATAAATCAGTCAGTCACAACTAAAATGGAATGTTTTTCTCATTTTTCTATAATGTTCTTGATGAGTATTTGTGAGGGTGGGGGTTGTATGTGTCTTATTGCATGTAGAAAGGTGTCCCCCCTTACTAATCTGGTGGTCCTCCTGTGGCATAATTTTGAGACAGAGGAGACATGTCAGTGTGGTTTGTGTAGGTGAGTGAGTGTCCTCATGTAGTTTGTGTGTGATCATTTTGGAGAGAAGAGTATGACAGTCAGGGTTCTTTCCTCCTTAGTCCTGCACCTTAATTGAGCTCACAAAAGTAGATGCTCTTTTGTAGGCAGTTAAACTTACCAGCCCCTCTCTTTTGCCCACAAAGGCCTTTTTTTTCTGGGTGCAGTTGTGTTTGTAAGTCAAGATGTAGCTGTACGGGTCCCCTGGGTTCACCCCATGGTGGGGTATTTATATTCCAATGCCTGGAGCATTGGAATATGTTAGGGTCTGAGATAAGTGTCCTAGAACTATGGAGTTACTTTGGGGAAGTCACTTAATTGCCTGAGTTTGGGCAGGTCCAAGATAACAGCGTAAGAGGACATGGAGCTTGCCCCCTCCCATGTGCACATCCTGAATGCACATCTATATTAGAGTATTATCTCTGAGAGATAACTAAGGGACAATTGAAGAGCTTCTGCACGACAAAGAAGACAGGGAGAGGTCACCTAGAGAAGATTGGGGAACTCCATGAGCTCTCCAGAATCTGAAGGAACTCATCAGGATTAGAGGAGCTGGTGAGTGTCATTGTTTGTATTCTCCTTACACTTGGATAGTATTGGTGAGAGCTCTGGCCAACCTGCAAGGCCACAGTAGTGCATTCCTAGTCACTCCTGGAACTAGCTCCAGCAGGAAGAGGGTGCCTTAGTAAGCATACACAGCCTTCTCCTCCACCAATCTGGAGTTAGATCCACTGTGGCTCAGCCACTGCTGCACACATCCACAGGGCTGCCTGCCAAGAGCTAACGCGGAGCCACAGTGTACATGTATGCTGGGCAGCCCCACCTGGAGTTAAAGGGCCTCAGCAGGTCGTCATTNGGCCCAGCAGGGCACTGTGGCTCAGCCACTGCTGCACACATCCACAGGGCTGCCTGCCAAGAGCTAACGCGGAGCCACAGTGTACATGTATGCTGGGCAGCCCCACCTGGAGTTAAAGGGCCTCAGCAGGTCGTCATTGTGCTCCTGCTCAGGGGGTGGTCCAGCTCAGACCTCCATAGCAGTCAAAGCGACAGGACATGCCTTGTGAGTGCACAGAGAGGAGTCCCTCCCAGAGTAAGGGAACCAGCAAAATGCTGCAACATGCACTTGTGGGCTGCATAGGCTGGCAGCTATCAGGACAACAGAGTGAGCTATGCACATTCACACACACAGGGAGGCCCCTACTGGAGTGGGAGGGAACTGACAGAGTGCTCAGTACATGTTCACAGGGTTCCTCAGCCCAGCTCCAGCAGCAGTCAGCCAAAACAGGGTGTGTCTCGTGTGTATACCAGGCAGCCCCACCAGAATCAACAGTAGAACCAGCAGGGCTCTAAGGCATACACACAGGTCAGGATGTGGACAACCAAAACAACAGAGAAATACCACTTGCACACCATGCTGCCCCACCCTGAACCTGCTCCTTCTGGCCAGGCGGTACTTTAGCACTACACGTGCCTGCCCCAATCACCCACTTTACACAAGACCAATTTTTCAAGACTGGGAGAGAGATCTATTTCATCTAATTCATAGGAACAAACACAGAAAGTCAAACAAAATAGAGGAACAAGAGAAAACCCCAGAGAAAAACTAATGAAATGAAGAAAGATAATTTGCCTGATAAAGAATTCAAAGAAACTGTCATAAGGATGTTTAGTAAACTTGAGAGTAGAATAGAGGAACTCAGAACTTCAAAAAAGAGTTAGAAAATACAATAGACCAATCAGAGATAAAGAATACAATAACTGAAATGAAAAACACTCTAGAAGGAAGTGACAGCAGATTGGCTAATGCAGAAGAATGGATCAGCAACCTGAAAGAATAGGGGAAATCACCCAGTTATAACAACAAAAAGAATTTAAGAAAACGATAGTATGAGGGTCCTATGGGATAACATCAAAGACACTAACATTCACATTATAGGGATCCTAGGAGAAAGGGGCAGAAAGTACATTTGAAAAAATAATGGCTGCACACGTTCCTAATCTAGGAAAGGAAACGGACATCTACGTTAGAGAGTTCCAAGCAAAATGAACCCAGAGGCCTACACCAAGATAATACTATAATTGGCAAAAGTTAAATATAATAACACAATCTTAAAGGAACAAGGGGGAAACAATGAATTGCATACAAAGGGAACCCCAAAAGCCTATTAGCTTATTTCTCAGAAGCAACTTTACAAGCCAGAGGGGAGTGTCAGAAAATACTTAAGAGTGCTGAAAGGAACCTAAAACCTAGTATGTTATACCTGGCAAGGTTATCATTCAGAATAAAAGGAAAGGTAGAGCTTCCCAGATAAGCAAAAACTAAAGTTCATCACCACTAAACAGACTTTACACAGAAAAGAAAAGGCCATGCCAAAACAATAATGCAGGGTAAAAAAATCACAGGTAAAGGCAAATACAGAATTAACACAGTGCATCCGCCACCCAAAAATCTAATATAAAGATTAAAAGACAGAAGTAGCAAAATTAGCTATAATAAATAATCAGGAGCTACTCAAGACAAAAAAATATGTCAAAAATAAAGTGGGAGGTGTGTGAAAATGTGCTTTCAGAATGTGTCTGAACTTAAATGCCTATCAGCTTAAAATATATAGTTGGATATATACGAACCTTACGGTAACCACAAATAAAAATAACACACACAATAAAACAGAAAAAAGCCCTCCAAAACACACTAAAGGAAACCAATAAAGGAAAGATTAAGAGAGGAACAAAAACAATCAACAAAATGGTAATAAGTACATACCTATCAATAATTACTTTAGCCCTGGCTGGTGTGGGTCAGTTGTTAGAGTGCCATCCAGTGCATCAAAGGTCAAGGGCATGTACCTAGGTTACAGGTTCGATCCCCAGCCCTGGTCAGGGTGCATATGAGAGGCAACCAGTCAATGTGTCGCTCTCACATCAATATTTCTCCCACCCTTCCACTCTCTTTAAAAAAAAATCATTGGAAAAAATATCCTCCAGTGAGGAGTAATAACAGCAAAATAATAATTACTTTAAATGTAAATGGACTAAATTCTCCAATCAAAGGTCATAGGGTGGCAGGGTGGCAGGATGGATTAAAAAACTAAAACACCCATCTATGTACTGCCTACAAAAGACTCACTTTAGATTGAAAGACAGACTGAAAGTGAAGGGAATGGAAAAAGATATTCCTACAAATGGAAATGAGAAAGCTGGGGTAGTAATATATCAGACAAAATAGGGTTTAAAACAAAGAATGAGAAGGGCCAATCCAAGAAGGGGATATAATAATCGTAGATATCTACATACCCAACACAGGAGCACCCAAGTCTTTAAAGTAAATATCAATGGACATAAAGGCAGAAGTGAACAGTAATACAATAATAGTTGGGGACTTTAATACCCCACTTACCTCAATGGGTTGATCACCCAGACAGAAGAAAATAATGGCCTTAAACATCACATTAGAACAGATCAATTTAATAGACACAGAACATTTTTCCAAACACTGCGGGCTATACATTTTTCTCAAATGCACATGGAACGTTTTTCAGAATAGATCATATATTAAGCCACAAAAGAAGCCTAAATAAATTTAAGAAGAATGAAATTTTATCAAGCATATTTTCTGATCAGAATGGCATGAAACTAGAATCCAACTACAGGAAGAAAACTGGGTAAAACACAACATAGAGATTAAACAATATGCTAGTAAACAACCAATGGATCAGACAAAATCGAACAGGAAATCAAAAACTACTTGGAGATAAATGAAAATGAAAACAACTTTTCAAAATGTATAGAATGAAGCAAAAGCAATTATAAGAGGAAAGTTCATAGCTATGCAGGCCTACCTCAAGAAGTAGGAAAAATCCCAAATATAATCTAACTTTACACCTAAAGGAACCAGGAAAAAGAACAAACAAAACCCAATTTAAGGAGAAGAGAGATAATAAAGATCAAAATGGAAATGAACAAAATACATACTAAAAAATATTTTTAAAAATCAATGAAATTAAAAGTGGTTCTTTGAAAGGATAAAGTTAACAAACCCCTAGCAAGATTCATCAAGAAAAAAAAGAGCCCAAGTAAATAAAATCAGAAATGAAAGAGGAGAGATTACAACTAGTACCACAGAAGTACAAAGGATCATTAAAGAATACTACGAAGGCAGCCCTCGGCGCAGGCAGGGCAGAACTAGCACTAGCTCGCCCTGTGGCTGCCCAGCTGTGAGACCAGGGAAGGGAAGCCCTTTGAGCTCCTAGGAATTTTAGATTTCAAGAACATTGCCTGTGCATGGGACTCAGTATTATGTGGTTGACAAGGATCTGTTGTGGGCCTTCGACATTTTTTGTTAACTAGCAGAATTAGAAGATCATATGTTGCTAGAGCTAGTTCCATTGTAGGTATAATTATGCAAAGCTAAGAATCCAGGAAAGAATTGCCAGAGAAGGAATTAAAAATAAGGTGCTGTATGAAAGTACCCACCTTGATCCTGAAAGAACACAAACCAATGGCAACAGCAGCAATTGAGCAGACTCGAGCATAGAAA